TTTATTACAACATTCCTGTGGTTTGCTGCACACGAAGCCAGTAGTTTCAGGGATGTTGCAGACAGATTCAATATAACTAAAAGTTCATTGCATAAGATTATAACAAGAGTGACATTTTTTGAGCAACTTATCTGCTCAGATAATCACGTGGCCAAACGAAAATGGAAAAGTTAATATCGAAAGACATTTTCGTGAAAATGGATTTCCAGGGGTAAGATTCGATGGTACGCACATACGTATTTATAAAGCAGAGGACGATCCTGACTCCTACTCAAATAGGAAAAATTACTTTTCAATTCAGGTGAGATATTTAATAGTACTTTTCTTTTTACCGGTAGCTTTTTTTTGGTACTTGTTCTTCCGTCTGAATTAAAGACGGACAACTAGGTTCTGGATCTTCTGATGCAATTGACATTGTATCCACTGTATCTGCTGCCAGAAGAATCTTCGTCATTACATCTGCATATTCAAAATCTTTCCTCCTAGCCCCGGTTTGATTTGAGTCGGCTATATATTTTTTATAGGCCCTTTCTAAAACGCGCCATTTATTTTCACAGTTCGTAGCTGTTATATTTTTCTTTAATTTGTGCCTCATTTCTTTAGCCATCTCTTCATAAATTTTTTTCAAACTTTTTATTCTTAAAGACCCCACTTGCTTTCTATATTGTTTATAAGATCCAAAAAAAGTAACGTATCACCATGAGTCCATCTATAAAATTCTCCTTCGACAGTACTGGAATTAAATTCCACAAATTCGCTTATCTTTGTAGCAAAAAAAACATCGGTTAGGAATATAAACAAATAATTTAACAATTTAAAAAATATAAAGGCTTACCACGTTCTATATCACTGCTCGTTATTAATCTACGTATTTAGTCTATATGATTAATAATTACCAAGAAGTTTTCTGGCTTTTACTGTGGTTTTAATTAACTTCCCTAATTTTAGCTGTATCGTTAATTTAAAAGTTCAAAACAAATGTACACAACGCGTTCGCGGAGAAGTGTCAATCCCAAGCCTGTTTTGAACCGCGCATGCGTAACTACGTATATCGAACTGATAAATCAGTTATTTGTCGCGGATTTCTCAGGGGTTAGTCATGGATCGCTACCGCGAACAAAGCTATTATTTATATGCCCACCACACTCCCCCCAAAATTCCACCACCTACAAACAACAAAACTACGGTATATATCACAACCTTTTCGTTTTTTAGGTTATGAAGCCTTGTTGGCAAAAAATAAAAATCGCTAATTATGAAAATAATAACTTTGGAAAAATTTTTAACGGCTAGAGAAATTTAAAAAAACCTTTATTCGTGATTATATAATTATGTACTTACCATATATCCCATTTTTAAATATGTCGACCTTGTATATTGGCCAACAAGTATTTAGGTCTTGATTTTTAATTGCCTGGGCCACTTTATCCGCCGGAAATGGGACCCAGAAGCAGTTATTTTCAGGTGAAATCCACTTAGTTGGTACAACTTCTACAGAGCTATCACCAGAGATATAGACTAAAGGAGAATGCGGGTCACCATGCGCGAACCGGCAAATCTAGATGGGCGCCATTGTCTACTCTTTAGTTACGGGCGACAATCGATAAGGACATTTTACAGGCGCTGCGCCGCCGCTCGGGCCGCAGTGTATACGAGGGTCATATGTGATGTATTTTACCAAAATATATTTAAATTTAAAATGTAATATTTATTAGGCCATATGTATTGATATGAGTAATAAAGCGGTATATAAATGGTTTGTTTATAAGCACTTATACAATCTTTAATCTTTTTTGTGTTAATTAGGGGAAATAAATAAATTAAAATTTACTAATCTATTAATAGGGAAGTTCCTAATACGAGTATGTTAATAGAAACTTAGATTTAAAAACACATTACCTTACTCATAAACATATTTTATTATCAATTCAAACCAATTAAAACAATATATTCAACAAAAACAGTTTGGCAATAAAGAAAAACATTATATAAATCGAAATTATGAAAACAATACAGGTTAAACAAAACTAAACACATTTGTTTAAATATAGATACTTATAAGTATGAACAGTTAATTTGTATAAAAAATTAAGAATACTAATATTTAAATATATAAAAATAGTAGATTTAAAAAAATATTTTATAGAAATAATCTTGTGATTTATTATTAGTGTATAAATTTATTTGATTAGCTTGGCGTTTAATTATCATTAATAAATAACTGATAGAGGAACGTGAATTTCATTAACAGTAAATAAATTGAGTTAAAAATATCAAAACTAAAACTATTTTGCAGTAAAAAAGAAAAAATTACATTATTGAAAACATTTAAAGGATGGGCTAAAAAAATTATTTTTTAATTATGCAAATTTCACCTCTATCGTCTGTATAAACTTAATTACAGTTATAAAAAAAAGTTACATATACAAAACAAATTTTTAAAAATTTATCATATTAAATAAGTTACTCACGTGACGGTGATGATTCTATACAATTGAAAAAAAAAACATAAAAATATAACTATATTTTTAATATATTATTCATGCTAAAAAAGGTAGAAAAAAGACTCAAAGTCTCGGTCTCAACGTTTATACAATGTTAAACTGTTACACGTGTTTCGCTCATATATGAGCATCATCAGACCTAACAAGAAAGAACCTAAATAAATAACAAATAATAAAAAGGTCGTCATAACTTACAACTACCTTTTTATTATTTGTTATTTATTTAGGTTCTTTCTCGTTAGGTCTGATGATGCTCGTATATGAGCGAAACACGTGTAACAGTTTAACATTGTATAAACGTTGAGACCGAGACTTTGAGTCTTTTTTCTACCTTTTTTAATTTGAACCAGGTCTCTTTGAGAAAAATGGATGCCTTTTTTTAATTTATTGAAAAACTAAATAATCTAATAAACTAATGTTCAAACCTAATAGAACAAAAAAATATCTCCAAATGATCTTGAGAAACTTTATATGTTAATAAATAATTCAAATATCCAAAATAATCATATATACCACATACTGATAATGCTGTAATAGCAAATCCAATGAATGGTGTTTTATTTGGTGTTAGCCATAGAGGTCTCCCTCCAACATCTGTACAATGTAATAAATAATCTATAGTATTTAAAAGTAAAGGCCTCCAAGAGGTTTCATTTCTAGGACAAAGAGGAGCTTTGAATCCTTTGGCTCTTGGACTCCTTCAGTTTAAAATATCAAAGAGGACATCCACTTTTCTAATAAATGCCGTTGTGCATTCGCTACCTTTAAATTCATCTAATTTTATATTTCTGTTCAAAAAGTCTATTGCATCTGCAACACTATTACTTAAAGTCTGAGCAGCTAAATGAACCTACAATTATACAAACAAAAATAAATAAACTAAAATATAAATTACACACCTTCATTTTTTGTCTGTACCACTCCATATGGGCTTTTTTTAATTTATTAGCAATATGAAGACCTTCCATCTCTTGAAGATTATACAGTTTTTTTTATAAAAATCCAATTAATTTTTCCTCCCTCTGGGTCCAATATTTGTTCTAACGTACAAAAATTATTCCTCATTAATTTCAGCATATGGCATGCATCTAATATACAAAAATTTTTTTGTTCGCTATTAGGAAGGGTAAACCATGTTTTCATGTTATAAACATCTGTAAAATCACAGCCCAATTCCTTCATCATGGCAAAATTTACAGAAGGGCCATCGCAAGTTATAGAAGTAATTTTTACTCCTATATTTGTTAGCCTAGTCACACTTTCCAAAATTATATTTGCTTTTTCTTTTGCATTAGTAGTATAGCTAGCGGGATACTGGATCAATTTTTGCTCGATGGCATGTTTTCCATCAGCATCGATCCCTGAGCCGAAGAAGTATTGACCTTGATTAATTTGAAGGTCATTTCAAAAGAGATAATGTTTGTGTGGGTAGTTCTTGTAAATTTACCGGAGGCTGTTGAAAAGGGCCTTAATATAATTGTTAGGGGGGTGGGTTAGGGTAGGTTTTTAAGGGTAAGCATGAGGGTACTGCAAATGCTGCTTTGCCAGATCTAAATATGTAGATTTAGGGAGTTTGCATATATGCCATGTTATAAGAGTTACATAGGTTGGGGTGCTATAGGCGAGAAATTTCCTTAAAATTTAGGAAAATGCAATGTTGTTGCTGTGTGTTTAAAAGGTTAGAGGTTATCAATGAGAATATTGCGTTGTTATTGCATGTGATGATGCATAATAGGTTAAAGGTTATCAATAAGAGTACTAATTTTATATTGTTTACTTTTATGCCTTGTTGTTGTTGTATGTGATAACGTTTAAAAGGTCAAAGATTATCAATAAAAATATTGCGTTGTTATTTTATGTGATGATGCATAATAGGTTAAAGGTTATCAATAAGAGTACTAATTTTAGATGGTTTACTTAAAACTAAATGTTGTATTAACCAACCTAGTCTAGACTGGAGATATTAACAGAAAAACACACATAGACAAATCTTTTAAAACAGTTTATTTTTTACATATGCTAAATATTACAAACTGATCTATTTATAATCATAAATTAAAAATGTCCAGGTATGTTACGTAAATGTGCAGCATGGCGATCATCAATGTCCCGTTTTACTGCAGTTTTCACATATTCAGGTACATCAGATTTGTCGGTAAGCCTTTTTAAATCAGTACCTGTTAATTTCCCAGGATTGTCAAATGCTGACAACAATCTACCACACTCGTAATTGAATGCAGGACATCTTTTAAATTCTCGCCATTTACGAATCTCGTCTGATACTTCTTGCGGAAGATCTGTATTTACCATTCTTATTTTTTTATTAATAAAATTTTTCACGCTCTCTATCTGTCTTAACTATTATGGATACTAAAGTAAAATAATATAATCTTTACATTTTATACCACGATTTGAGAAAATTTCTCTAGCATAAATGCTTCTATTTTTTTAATATACTTAATAAATATATTCATTACAATAATATTTATAGGCAAGTTATATAAAAAAAAACACTTAGAGCTAGGTTTTTATTATCGCCCTGTTGATCCAAAACCATTGGTGTTGCGTTCTGTATGGGTAAGTTCTTTTTCCTCAACCAATTCAGGATAGTGTATACGCTCACAAATTAATTGAGCTATACGATCTCCAACGTTTACTTGAAAGTCTTCATTCGAATGGTTGAAGAGTAGAACCATCACAATTCCCCTATAATCTTGATCGATAACACCAGCTAGAAGAAAATTAAAATGAATAGTTATCATATTAATAATTATAAAAATAAAATTCTACCTCCAACATTGATGCCGTTTTTTGAAGCTAATCCTGATCTAGGTGCTATTCTTCCATAGCATCCTGAAGGCAATTCAAATTTCAGACCTGTATTTATGAGCGCCTTATCCCTTGCAGGTACAGTTATACTGTAGACACTCCTTAAATCAAATCCTGCAGCTCTAGGAGATCCTTTGGTAGGAGTAAAGGCTCCTGGAATTGTTTTTACATATTTCAAGCATTTTCTCTTTTCCATCGTCAATATTTCATCATCATCATTTGACTATGTTTTCAAAAAATGAGAGGTTTTATAACAAATAAATAAAATCTAAAGATTTTCTAAATGTTTCCCCTTAGTTCCCAACCCCATGGTTTTGTATCTGTATACAAATAATTAATAATTCTTTTATCATCATTCGGAGATAGAGCTATTTTTCTTTGGGCTATAGTATACACTTGATGTTTTTTTGATTGAATTAAATGTTGTTCAGTTTCAAGAGTGGAATTATTAAAAAGACATTGATAAAAATCGTCAAAAGTTATAGCTTTAAGTGAAGATGACTTTATACCCTTAGCTTTTTTACTAACATTTAAATTTTCACAACTATGTGCTTGAGTTCTAAAAGTGTACAGTTTAGATCGTAAACCAATAAATTCAGTCATTATTTTCCCATTATTTTCATCTTTCATAAGACCTAATATTTTTTTGTTTTTTTGTGGTATATTATACACATTATTAGGAGGATAGTCTGATGTATCAAATTTATGAATGTCTTGCTGAATTGAGTAATAAATATCGTTCACAAAAAAATGGTAGATGAGAGAATCAGTATCAGTATATAATAATTTTGCTTTTTCTCCAAATTTGTTTTGAATATAGTTATAATGAAAATCGTATATAAAAGTCTTAGATAAATCTAAAATGGAAAATCCTACATAAATTGGTTTATCAAATTTAACTTTTACACGTTTCATTTCGATTATTACCATGTCCTGATCAAAAATGGTACAACTATGAAAATTTGGTTGTGAAATATAGTATTTAGCTCCATACCTTTCTGACCATTTCGTTACAAGTTTAATATCTTTATATTTACGAACATTCTCCATAGTCTTACCAAATACAGCATTGTTCATCAGTTTGTAAAAGTTTTTTTCAAATTCGTTTTTACTATTTTTTCGCAATGCTGTATTTAAATCAATGTAAGACTTTAACCAACAAGACTGTTTAAATTTTAAAACTCTATGAATTTTTGTTATTTTTAATCCTAAACTAACGGCTTGTTGTAAATTACGATAGTGAATGATATATTTTTCCTTATTATATAGAGTTGTAAGTAATTTAGGAATCTTTGAACCAGCAGGTATTCTCCTTTCCGGACATAATGGTAAATCTTTGTGATAATCAAAAAGTTCTTGAGGATAAGTAAGATCAACTTCAAAGATATAACCAATGTCACTATTTTCAGGAATATCTATTATATTTGGTAACTCATATATATCTTGAACCCATTCAAAATGTGATTGAGGCAGAGGCATAGACATAGCTGCTCCATATAAATTATTAACATCATAATACATAAGATATGATGAAGGTTCATTGTCATCAAATTGGTTTTCCATATATTTATTATTTGCTTTTGCATATCGATTAGAACATTGTGAAACACCCCCTCGTATACCTTGTTCAATAAACATAATCATATCAATGTCAGTTAACAATTCAAGCTCTATATTACTAATTTTCAGCATAGATTGGAAAGCTAATCCAGGTGCGGTAAAAAAATTAAGAGCACATAATCCATAGGTCTTCATACATGTAATTCTAAAATTTTCAAAAATATCAGCAAGTAACAAAACATCGGTTTTTAAGTATAATTCTGCATATTCTTGTAGATTTTTAATGCTAAACGTGTTCCACACTAATTTTGCATGCTGATAATCCTCTTCGGAAATATTTGTTTTATTAAGAGAACTATAAAATTGATCTTTTGTAGGCAATTCAATGTCTTGTAATTTTTCCCAATTATTTAGGTATTCATAAGGAAAAACTCCTTTACGTGACAACAATTGGAACTCCACATGCTTTGGATAATATTTTAGAATAATTTCTTTTTGATTATCTACTAGATAAGATGCTAATTTATCGAGACTACTAGCCATAAAACGAAACGAATCTAAAAATCTAAAATTAACTTTTGTGTTGTGAATGTATTTTGTAAAGGAAATGTATCGTTCTTTGTTTAATGGTAAAAGACTCATGTTTCCCTTAATCTGAGTAGCTAAAGCCCTTATCAGGAAGTGACTATCATAGCCTGAGAGATTATGAAAGATAACAGGTACTGTATGAGAATCCTGATAATTAATATTGCAGTGAGAATGAGCAAGACCTCGAAATTCACCCGTAAAATGTGAATGATCCTTAACAATTGTATCATTTTTATTAAACGGTTTCAAACAAATGTGACACTCTTTGCAGCTTTGAATATATATTCAAAGCTGCAAAGAGTGTCACATTTGTTTGTTTGTATAATTGTTGTCACATTGTATAAATTGGTTTATTAATAAATTAAATACTATAGCGTTAGATTTGCATAATATTCTTTGTAACATTATTCCAATGAAACCTCTTACACAAGCACAATACCAATATTGGTATTGTGCTTGTGTAAGAGGTTTCATTGGAATAATGTTACAAAGAATATTATGCACATCTAACGCTATAGTATTTAATTTATTAATAAACCAATTTATACAATCTTTACCAGTGTATAGATTAAAACGTGAAAGTTCATCATTATATGAACATTTTAAATAGTATGCAATACTAAATGGTTCATGTTTTTGACACTTTTTCGATTTTATATTAAAACTATTTTCATTTTTCACATCGAAAAGAATACATTCCAAGTCAGCATAAATAACAAAAGGAACACTTTCCTTATACTTAAATTTTGAAAATTTTAATATTTTTTCTTTTTCATTGGGAACAATAACTTGAAATGTATTCATTTTTTTACAACTAACTGAATGCTTTTCCAAAATTGTTTGTGATATAAATGAATTTAAACAGCGTTCGCATAACCATGATTTATTCTTTCGATTAGGTAACTGTTTATGAAGTAATCGAGATAAATTTTTAATAAGAGCAAAATGATATGTTTCTTGTTTAAAACATTCAATTTCATCATCATCATCATCATCAGTACTATTCGCATCCTCAATATCAGAATGGTTTGGTAATAGTAGTAAATTTATTTTAATAGAAAAGTCATTTTTACTTAAAGCTAAAGGAAAAATTTCGTTTTTTTGATAGCTGAAAACGTTTATAGAAATTTTATTACATTTTTCAAATTTTGGAATATCCTTTAAATGCATAGGAAATTGAAAGTTTTCATAGCTTAATTTTCTTTTATCTTTTCTATAGGTTATTTCACTAAAATGAGGATAGGATGAAACACGATTAGAATTAATCGAAACAGGATTTAAATATGCAACTATTGACCAAAGAAAACAATATTCATCATTATTTTTTATGTTTATTACAGATTTCGTTTTGTATATAAATTTAGGTGTATTAACAAATGTAGAAAAACCTGCAGTATAGGTACAAATTTATTTATATTTACTTTAAGTTGAAGAATTTCATAAAGTGCCCAACCACTATCTCGTTCTTGAAATTCTGATAATTTTGTTAAAATATAATTTCTAATATATTCCTTATACCACTTTTTTAAATTTGTAGAATTATCAATTATTTGATTTTTAGTAGTAAAATGCTTTACTTCTATTTCAGAATTAGTAGGTTTTATAAAATTAGGTAAAAAGTTAACATTAACTTTAATCATTGAAGTCTTCAGAGCTTGTCTAATTTTAATTAAAAAACTTCTTAAGGCCTTTTTTTGAAAATATGTCTGGATCTTTTATACCTAAATTTATTATTGCACCTGTTCGAATCCGCCCATTAAAACATGAATCAACATCTACCCAAACTAAGTTTTTGTTTTTTTAGTCTTTATACGTTTCTTTTTTAAATCTTCCCTATACTTTAATAACAATGATAACTGAGACTACTTTATAAAAATTTTTCACACAACCTAGTTTATTCTTAATACATTTTCTAATATTTATAATAAACCTCTTCAAAATTTTAGTCCATTTTAAAATTTCATCTTTAGATTTAATTAAATGTCTTACCCTCTCAAATTTTCTTATCACTTCATTAGCAACACCATCAATTTTTGTATTCATATTTAATTTGTTATTAATACTTAATGCAATGAGATTTCAACAGTAACTGAATGTTTATATAGTCACCTCTGAATATAAACAATAAATATGTTTTTTCGATTTAACTGAGTTAATTGCATCATAATTCATAATATTTATTCGTATTAGAATATTAAAATTAATTGCCTACGATCATGATTTGTTTGCATGCATATAATTATCATAAATTTTCCATAAATAATACATTTTATCACTATCTAGGATTTAATTAGATAATTGTGTAACTTTATTAGATAAATTGTTTTCATAAAATATTAAAATTAATTGCTTACGTCTTGTTTTGTTTGTTTAAAATTATTAGAAATATTCCAAGAATCATTAATTTGTTTTTCCAATCTATTACAAGCGTGTTAGAACTTGTTTTTATAATTTGAATAATCTATCGTTACATTACAATTTTTTACAGACTGAGCGAATGTATATTTTAATAAAATTATCATTAGATTGCAAAATAAGCATAATTATTGGTTTTTGGATACACAAATTCGAGAGATCCTTTAGATTTAATCTTGAATACATTTTACTTAGAATAACATGATTAATATTAAAGGAAATAAAAATTTAGAATTTAAAGTTAATAGCAAGTTTATAAAAAACAATCGGAGAGAATTATAGAAAGTGAGATCTACTAGAACATAATAAATTAAAATTTTAAATGTAAACAAGCCTTCTAAAACTGAAATTATAAATATTAAAGAATTAAAAAGCTTATTATTGGAGATCCTTGAATAAAGTTACTACTATAATGTTATACATATTATAGTATGATTTGAATCTAGAATAGCTTAACGAAGCCTACAAAAATATTAAATCTTATAAATATACCTAAAAAGAGTCATAACTGTTTATTGTTTGAAATGTAATGAAATAATAAACAATTTTATATAAAACCTACTAAACTACTCTTTAAACCTAGGAAAAAA